CAATGAGTAATTTATTAGTATCACCAACATTTGCAATTTGAGTCAAGATTTGAACAGCAAATGGTGGGGCTCCTGGTGTCTCTGGAATTGGCCTCAACAAATTGACGAGCAAAGGTATTGTCTCGTGAGCTATGGAATTAATTCTAGCATCTTCAGTTTGAAAAAGGCATTCAAGAACTACTTGCCCAGGGTTTTTTACTAAAGAAAATTCTTCAGTTAAGGAAATAAGGTTTTGCATATCTGATTCTACATATCCACTTAGTGTTATTAAACCAGAAACTGCATCCAAGTTTGCAATAGCAAGATTTGTTCCCTTATCTCCATGGCTAACAATACTAGCGATTGCCTGGGCAGCAAAGAATTTATTGATCATTTTGTCTGACTTCAGCAGGAGAGAAAGTGTGGGTATAAAGTTCAGGGCTGCATGAGAGGAGACAATACTGGCATCCTGGAATAGTATAGCCATGAGAAGAGCACTAATCCATGTGCCCTCTGTATCCTCATAATCTACCTGTAGAAATGTATTTTCTTTCAGCAACAAAACATAATGGTGGTAAAGAATGAAGACACTCACAAAAATGTAAATTATTCTTATACCTAGAGAGGCCGCTCCACAAACATGGTTTGAAATATTATAATACAAAAGCTCATTTACTTATCAATAAAATAAAAGAAAAAGGGAGACAAAATCAATATATATTAGTTAGATAGTTACTTGAAAAACAGCAAGAGAAAATTAAAAGGAAACATAAAGAAGAAGTAAAATAGTAGCAGCCAACAAGTTGTATGCCCGACCTGCTCGTTTGAAGTATGTTTTGCAAGCTTGTCTGAAAGAACTTCAAGAACCTCAGCTTCCATGACAATGAGTTTGCTCTTTGAATGAAATGAAGAAATTATTGATAGCAACCACAAGGCAACAGTACTTCCCAAGACAGTTACTGGATCCGGTACTTTAATACCTCTAGGAGTTTTGACTTTGATTTGAAGAGAAGAACAAGTAGAATTTTGCTTCGTCATATCTACTAATGCATGTATAAGAGGTTCCAAGGATCCAGATGCCTTGAGTGCATCCACTGACTGAATTTTATGGTCTTTGGCAGCGCATATTATCAATGTTGTTCCTCCAACTCTTACTTCTCCACTGCTAGAATTCATAATTCTATTAGCCAATGCAGCAATAGATCTTGAGTATGAGATCAAAAGATCAGCTAGAACTCGTGGTTGAACCCCACAAAGTCTAGACAAAATTTCTATAGCTTTATCTTGCACCAAGGGAGGTCCGTCACATAGGCACTGCACCAGAGGCTCTAAACTAGACGGGACTTCAGCAATGATAGAGCATAGTTGGTAAGGGGAGTTTATTCCATACTTCATCCGAGAGAATAGCGCAACAATTTCTAAAGTATCGGCAACATCATTTCCATCCATATCTACTGCATTTAAGGAATCAAGAATAGCAAGAACTGCAAATTGACACTGAGCACTTCCCGAAAATACATTGCCTGCTGGGAAATGCTTCAAGAGTTGATGAAGAGCACGGGATGCACTCTTCTTACCTTGCAGAGATCCTTTTCCCAGAATTCTTGTTATTGCTGAAACAACATCTTCCCCCAATGCTACTGAAGCTATTTGTGGATCCAACAACATATTAGCCAAGGCAGCCATTGCTACCTCTGCAGAATCAATGGATGATGTCTTGGCCAACTTAATTAACTGTTTGTAATCTCCTTCTGCATAAGAAATCTTATTTTTCGACTTAGACTTGGTAGGACGAGCAGCAATACCTTGATTTTTGCCAGTTAAAAGTTCTACACATGGATTGACAACTTCATCAGTCGCCAGGCTATCACAGATATCATGGCGTTTACTGAATAGATCAGCCAAGATTGAAGCTGCATGCTCTTGAGTCTTCTTATTCGAGGAATTGAGAACCTGGACAAGAGACCTTAGCCCCTTATTAGCAGCAGCTCCCTTATGCGCTAGGTCACTATCTGATGCAATTGAAAGTACATGACCCAGAACTTTAATTACGTGGGCCTTGGATATTGGAATGTCTCCCAAGAGCAAAGCTAGTAATTGATTGATGGTCTCTGAATCAGCCTTTCGGATAAGCTTTATCAAAGCCTTAACTGAGGCTTCCTGTCCCTTTGGTTCCCCATCTTTTAGAATCCCCAAAAATGCTGAGATGGCTCCAGCACTTTCAACACAGGCACGAATATCTTCACTGTGACAGCACAAATTCCATAGCATAACTACTGCATCTTCCTTTGCCTTCTGTGATCCCACTTCTAATATTTGGACAAGTGGCGGGATTCCACCAGCTGCAGTAATTGCCCACTTGCTATCATCATTTTGTTCAGTTAGAATTGCAAGCATTTCAACTGCATACTGTTGATGCTTTTGATCACATAACCCCAATGATGAGATAAGTAATTGAATTCCTTCTCTCTTTCCTATGGCTTCCCAAACACCTAATGATTCAGTGCATAAGCGTATAAGAGCAAGTATCAAATATTCTTGTGCATCGCCTGCAGCCATTGTTACAAGCCCAACAAGCACCCTTTTAGATTCCGATTGATCAACTGTAACTGATAGATAGGCATTGCCATAGAGGCTCCCCAAAGCCTCAAACAGACACTCGTGAAACAGCTTATTATCCCTGGGTTTTAGAAGCATCACTAGAATGCTTTCAATTTTTGTTGCATCAAATGGTTCCTCGTCAGCGCTCTGCTCGAAGACCATTAGGCAATGAGCCAGGGCTAGGATAATATCAGCAACTGGAGCAGCTAACCTGGGGGACTGAGAAAGCTCCCCGAGATGGAGAATTAATGCAGACATCCCACCATATATATTTGCTAAAGCTCGTGTTGCGCACTGCTGAAGAGACAGTCCTACCTCTCCCTGCGTACCTTCCTTGGAAGGAGCAATCACAGCTCGTATAAGCACCAGGATGCCTTCTGCATCAACAACAGCTTTCTTAGCATCGGTTGATTTAAAAGAAAGCGCCTCCAATGCTTCAGCAGCACTTGCTAGAACAGAAACATCCTTTTCTTGATCCAATAGTCCGAGCAAAGCTTTGATCGACCCAGAATCAATTATTTTTGGAATACTATCGGGGAATGCCAACATAAGACGGGCTAAGAGAGCTGCCGCATTGGATTTAGTAGCAGCATTTTCAGAAGAAAGAAGGCGAACAATGATATCTACTCCACCATCTTCGAGAGTTGCTCGCCAATAGCCATCTTTGTCACCACAAAGATTTCTCAATGCCCCGGTGACAAACCCTTCTACCACTTTGTCCGTATTGTTTTTCTGATCTAACTGTTTCCATAAGGCTGGTACCACACCTTCTGTAACAAATATTTTTGTGCCCACATTATCATCCGAAAGTCCACTGGACGACACTTGGACTAATGCTTCTGCAGCAGCCTTCCTAGCTTCAGTTGACTCCGACTTCAAAAGTGAGAGTAAAGGTGGGATACATCCACCTAGAAGCACCTTCACTCGCAAATCTTCATCTTTACATAGGACGCTTAACGTAGCAGCAACATTTATCTTTGCCATAGGAGTACCACTCCGAAGAATGGATATGAACAATGGGATTGCTTGGCCATGCAAACCAATAAGCTCCCGAGCTTCCTTTCTTGCTTTTGCAATACCTAGCAAACGTGCCGTGAGAAGTTCTTTCTCTGGTGGTGAAGACTTCTTGGCATGTAGTTGCTCAATGAATTGAGCGACTCTTGTCTTCATTCTCTCCGAATCATTTATCTCTGCAGTTCCATTTGATTCTCTAGACGAAAAAATAAGATTAAATTTTAGACACATTTTGCAGGAAATTATCCTAATAGAAGTCAAATTAAGTAATATGAGCCTGTTTAAACAGGTCACAAAATTTCGAGGAAGCATCACATATTATCCCCGGTTAATCCTTGCAACTTATATTTCAAGTGCATCATTCACACCACAATTTCTTTCTGGTAAAAAGCAGTACCTTGTACGAATTAGTAGGCGTTAACTAATGAGTTATTGTGTTATAACACTCACTTATTTTTCCTAGAGAACGAATAAGCTTTATTGTTCCTTGATTCAGAGGTAGATGGCTTCGACATTAATTCCACCTATTGAACAGTATTCTTGAACCTGCTATAGATCAAAACAAGTTAACTTTTACCACTCTTTAATGGTAGAAAAACACCCTATAATCAAACCATAGATAACCTAAATGGAATAAATTTGCTTCTTATTCTAACTCATAATTGGGAAAACACACTCATCCAGGAAAGAAAATATAGAAATTACAAACACCAATTTACAGGTTGTTTAATCTAAATACCCGTAATCTATGTCAAATTTTTATAAATGAAAGATCGCATTTCACAAACAACACATCCCTGTATAGGAAAAATATGAATTTAAAAATGGAAAATAAATTGTTCGCCATACTGTACCTCTGCCCGTAAAATCGGAGAATGCTGCCAGATTACCCTCCTAAAACTCTCTCGGATACGATTTTTCTCACCTCAAATGTTTCAGCCTTAGTTTAACGTACACGTGCGCATATTTTTATCTAAACATCAGTAGTGTACGACAATTTTCCGCCAACGAAGCCAGACGTCCTGCATATCCATAATCACCTCAAAAGATCAAATTGATTCAATTCCAGATCACTAATTCACACGCACGTAATCAAATATAATACGAATACATAAATCCATGCATCTATGATGTGGGCATATACTGCATATACATATGTGTGTTTGTATATGCAATTTAATACCTCATATATTAACGCATCACATTAAGTACATATGGGAATAAATATCAATATGCTGATAATATAAATTAATAAATTAAGTATTGGCATTGTGAAATAAAGAAAAAACTGGGGAATTAATCTGGAAAAATACAGTTTCATCTATAAGTTAAACATTAACGTTGCTTGATTAAACAGAAAATTAACATTGAATATTTACCGTTTCAAAACTCATATGAAATTGTCAATGGAGTGGAAGCGGAGGTCTGGAGAGAGAAAATCAATCTAGAGAGAGAATGGGAGAGTTTTTTCTTTTTATTTTATTTTCTTTTTGTTTTTCCTTTTCTGTAGTTAGTTTGTTTTC